ACAGTTCATTTTGAAAAAAAAAAAATCATTAAAAAATTAGTATCATAAAGTAACCGCCCCAGTCTTGTGATATTTCCAATATGCCATCATGAAAAAAACAGGACAGGGTGGTTTTACTAGAAGTAGATGCTCAAGGCTCTTTCCCACAGATGAGATGATTTAGAAGGCAGAGGTACATTCCACCTGGGGGCCAGAAGTTCCCTAGTTCCCCATGGCGATGCTCCACTCTCCCTTAGTGGAGGGAGATCAAGAGAACTTGCTAATGAAGAGAGGGGAGGGGGTGGGAATAAACACATTCTCTGTAGACTCGTGAAGTCATTTACACACAGGATTGCTTACACACACATCACCTGGCTTAAGATCTAAGGATGAGAAAGAAGAAGGCTTAAAAAAATTTTTTTCCTAACTCAAAGTCCTTTTAAAAATTCTGCCTGTTTTTTAATTGAACATGTATACACAGAAATATACACAAACCCAATAGACAATTTGATGCCACAATTAAAGGTAACAGAATGAAAATTGAATTGGAAAGCAGTTAAAACACCTGACAATCTATATAGGTAGGGCATTTTAGGTCACCTGGGTTAGTCCTTTTAAATGCTCAATCGTACATTCAATGAATCATTATGCTTGGATAGAACATTAAGCAGGCTAACCTATCTTGGCAAGAATAACAGGCCATCACCCCAAAGGAAGTATCTTCTCATGTTAATAGGCTGGGAGTTAACAAAAAGAAAATTAACACTCTCTGAAATGAGAATGTAATCTAAAGTTGCTGCTGCAAAAGATAAAACAGAAAATTCTGGAGCAGCTCCAAGAAAGCCTATCGTGGGGCACTTATCATTCCAGTAAAAGGCCCCAATATAAATAAAAGCTGTGACTGTTCTTTCTGTGTATTTAGTTGAACACAAAATGGCTCGGAAAAACCTTAACTTCATGACCAGGGTGCTCTTAGATACAGGTGACTCGGTGAAAGCTCTTCCTTGGGAAAACATGACCATGCTCCCATGAACAGAATTACCAAGAGTACCTGCTTTGTAAATAATGACTCTGAGCTGCATAGTCAGGGGACAGGAAAACCAGGTGGTACAGCAATCCTAATGACCAAAGTGTTAACAAAAAAATGGCACTTCAGAGGGCACTGAGATGGAAACGCAGAGAACTGGGGGACCGTCACATTCTCATTACCTGCCTGGTGTCCTTGGGTTTCAGTTACCTCGTTTGAAAGTGAAGATACTGAAGCAAGGCCCCTAAGAGTTCACCGCACCTCCCCCAGGGCTTCCCTCTGGGAGCAGTTCTCGACTGTCCAGAAAGGAGGTCACCCAGAACCCCTGCCAAGGCCTGGCTAATCTGCGAAAGCATATCCCCAAATGACAACTGCTTTGATTTCTTTTGAGTGATAAGAATTTATTTGGAAAGTTAAAGCCAAACTAATGAGGGGGATTTCTGTTGCTGTTTTTAAGTAAAAGAAACGTGTTGCTAAGGGTTTAGAAACACTACTTCCAGTAACAGCCTGAGCTGTTGCTGTAAATCATATCAAAACATCCAACCGTGGAGGATCTTAAGACAACTTGCTTCTTGGCTTAGTAAAAATTCAACAAGAAGGGTATTCTCAGACCCTTCAACTGTCGTTTGTGGTAGCGGGGGTGTTATGAATCCCCAGAGGACATTACTATATAATACCAACAAACGAGACAGCAACTTCTGTGCCAATCCGGCAGTTATGATTTGACTTAGCATTCAGATTCAGGAAACACAAAGAGCTTTCAACCTATTATTACTATCTTTATTTAGAATTATGGACAAATACAGACTAAGAGATACTGAGGCACCGTGTCTTGATCTCATCCCAGACCCAGCAGCTACCTTGGTCAACAGCTTCTTTTGTGCCCCCACCTCCAGTCACACAAAGTACAAAAAAAGGCAAAACAGACATGTCCCTTTGACACACAGAAGCTGCAACCTCAGTGTCCCAGCGGTCTTTACATAGATTTCCTCCTGCAAGCCAAAGGTCTACATGCCAACTCACAGCTCCCAAGCCACACAGAGACAAAGCAGACGCAGCATTCTGTATCTCAGCTCAACTCCATACATCAGTGCAGTAAGATGCTAGATTCCAAGACCTGGCTCAGTCCACGGCTGTTGTTAACCCTTTGTCTCTGAGGATGTAAATGGTGAAGCACTGGGTTCTTAACTAAACTGCAAGGTTGACAGTTCGAACCCAAAGGAAGGCCTGGTGATGGGCTTGGGAAGGGCCACAGCCATGAAAGTAGTATGGCAAAGTATGGCTCTGAGACATGTGGAGTTGTCTGAGTTGGAATCAAGTCCATAGCAACTGGTGGTGGTGGCAGGACGAGCTTGTGATAATTTCTAAAATTCAGCTTTCCTATAAACTATCAAATATCCATTTGCTTGCATAAACATTCTATGACTTCATTTTTTTAAATGTTGGCTTCATCTCAAGAACCTTTCACTGGAAGTCTGTGCTATAGACATGATGCCACGCACCAAAGATATACATGATGTAGGAGAAGGTCTCTGCTCTTAGAGAGTCTACGTTTTTAAGGAAAGAAAATAGATATATTCGCAAGGACAAATAATGAAACACAGCAGCATATGTTAAGTGCCAGGTGAGCATGAATTACAGAAGAAAGTAACTGCTGTGTTGGGAACAGCCAGAGAAGTTTTGGAGAAGACAATGACTACAGATTAATAGTAACTGCCAATTATTGATCTCCAACTACATGAAGAACTGTAGTAGGCATTTTATATATATTGTTTTCTTCATCCTCTCATTAGCACATAGGGTGGATACTGTTATTATTGCCAATGTTCCGATGAGGAAATGTGTAACTTGAGATGCAGCCCCCCGGGCTGTAGTCACAAGGAACTACAGAAAAAATTCCCTGCAACCCAGGGCGTAAATACACAAGGGAAAACGTGGGGTGGGGGTGGGAGGAGCCATTGGTACCATAGATACAACATGGAGAGAAAGAAAAGAACAATTTTGGGGGTAGACCTTTTTCTTTTCAGGCCCAAGCATATTTTTATTTAACACTTATGAAGGGGCTTCATTGGGAAAAGTTCACGAGAAAATGGAATGAAAAGACAATGGAGTTTTTTCATGAACTTTTTAAAGCCCCACATCTACTTGACACACAATGCAGGTTGGAACGTATGTCACTTACATATCATTTACATACATGTCCTGCCTCCCTAGCTAGACCGTGAGCCCCTTGAGGCCCAACATCATGTCGTTCTAGGCCTAATACAGTGTCTGGCGTAAAGACGATGCAAGAAATGTTGGAAGCTATCGAAAATGTAAATACTCGGCTAACAATGGACAATCCTGCCTCCCTTGCTTAACATTAATAAGTTAGACTTGACTAGATCATTCCCATGTTGTGTGTGATGCGCTAAAAGCCACGTGTAACTGATTTAGCTCATTTCCTTGGCTTGAGTGTATCCTAACCCAGAAGTTCACCCAGATAACGTTTCATTCTAACTCTTCCAATTGCTATACTGAAATAGAACTAGAATAAATGCATGAAGATGTCAAGGGACATATTTTAGCCCAAGCAAATGAAGATATCCTATAAACAACAGGGACATAAACAAAGGAATGGGCTGCCTTGGAGAAATTCGAATACTAGGGGAGGCCAGGTACAATTTCAATTGCAGGGACACTATGGAGAGGATATAAGCATTGAAGGGGCTGTTGAAATAGACACAGCCAGAATTTGGGAATTGTCCTGGGTTTCACTCTTTAAGCCCTGAAGTCTGGTGAAGTAGTTGCATTAGGTGAACAATGCCAGTGCCTGCAACCTCTTGTCTTTCCTTATGGATAAGTCTGGAATACTCGAAGGGGCACTGCACCCCATTATTGTCTCCTAGTCTTTAAACGAGCAATTTCCCCTTGAAGACATGAAGGCCTTTCACAGTTCTAGGACGCATCAGGTCTCCTGATGCATGACAACATGATGGTGGAGCCGATGTACCTTTGGTGTCTGTATGTCTAATAAATCCGAATGGCTCATCAATGGAAAAGTTCAGGCAGCAAAGTATTTAATTCTCCTACTACTTCAAGCCTTGGACTGTGGACCTACTGTCCCATCACAGTGGCATTATAGATTATGGTGTTTTATTAGGAGATAGCTGCATACAGCGGTGTTGGGAGGAGGGCCTTCTTTGCAACCATTTAAGACTTTGTCAAAAATGTACACCAATAAGGCAGGTTTAAGGAGCTCGGGTGGTGCTGGGGTTAAGCACTGGGCTACTGACAGTTCCAACTCACCAGCCACATCAGGGGAGAAAGCTGAGGCTTTCTGCTCCCTTAAAGATTTAGAGTCTCAGAAACTCTAAGGCACTGTTCCATTCTGTCCTACAAGGTTGCCATGAGTTGGAATCAACTCGATGGTAGTGGTGGTGTTTTGGGCCAAGGCAGGTTTGAGATACTCTAAGATTGTTTTACTTTCAACTCTCTGACTGCCTGATAATGACAAAAATCTCCCAAACTGCTGTCGTCCAGAGAATAACATGAATAAAGGTCCAGCAGCAGAGAAAGCAAAGTGGGGTTAAGAAACTGACACATGATCAGAGGGGATGGAATTTAAGACTATGAAGAGGGAGCGTAGGCCTCCGTAAATTAAGGGAAGCAGGGTCAAGAACAGGAAGTGCCTTGTTCAGGAGTGCTTGAACCCAGGGAGAGCAGGGAGTCACTTGATGACGTTACACAGATGAGAGAGGAGGTCAGACCAGGGTTTTAGAATTATTGTTTCAATTTCTTTGTAGATAAAGGCTTGACAGGAGGAGAGTATGCAAAACACAGGCAGGATTAAGAGTTAGAAGGCTGTTCCAATGAGCTATGCAAGAGAAGATGGTAGTTTAGACTGCGGTAATAACAATAGCTGCGCAGATCCAATAAGTCAATCTGTAGGCAAGACAGCTCACCACAGTCTGGCAGTGTTCTGACGTGTTCATTCCAACCCAGTAATACTCACCAGTTGACAAGGCCTCCTCTCGAACCTCGCCTTCCGCAGGCTGATGAATATTCCAGGATGTTGTGGGAAGCGAAGAAATTTCCTCCGGTGATGCTAACTTCACCATATCCATGTGATTGCTCTGGAACTGGTACTGTGGGATGAAGCAGGTTTTGCCTCGTCGGAAAATGTCCTTGATGATCTCCTCTGTCTCGATTTCATCCACCATGCTCAGGAAGATGGAAATTCTTTGGGATCTTTGATACTGACTGTGGGCAATCACCTAAATGGGAAAAGATGGCAATCCACTTTTAAAAATGAAGAACTTGCCGGGACAGCTCTTCCCTTCTTCCTCACCCTCTTCCAAATGTGTATCCCCAGCCCCCCAAAAGCTGGGGTCAATGTTACCTCCCTTTACCTGGGGTCCACCACTTACTTCTGATCCCTTTACACCTCTGCACACATCCACTTTACTAAGGAGGTATAGTGCCTCGGCTAGAAAGTCACTGGGGGACCTGCTGCCTTTCTCCGGAATCCCAGGACAGCATCTAGTAGTCTTCGGTCACTGCGTTGTTACGGTCAGCTGAACCTCAGCTCTTGCCACCTTCTTTATTTCTGCGTCAGGCTCCTCTCTCCTCACAAATCTAACCCATTGCAAGCCCAGTTTCTCCTGACTTCTACTGAATACTTAATTCATTTAGGGTTAATACACAGTTAACACTGAACGATTTGTTGTTTTGTGTGCCTTAAAACAAAATGTAGTATCCCTATCCAAAATGTAACCTCCTTGGAGGTGGAGAACACGCCATATCATGCTCTTTATTCTTTTTTTTTAAATCATTTTATTGGGGCGCGTACAACTCATAACACAATCCATACATACATCAATTGTGTCAAGCATATTTGTATATCTTTTGCCATCATCCTTCTCAAAACATCTGCTTTCTACTTGAGCCCTTGGTATCTTTATTCTACCTACCCTCATCTTGTTTCCTAAGTAAGCCTCCTCGGTGCGTGCGGGTCCACAGGAAGGGGCAGTGGGATCTCCTGGAGAGACAGAGACTCACTAAAAGCAGATGGGAGGTTATGAGGAGGAGGACCAGGGCAGCAGAAGCCCTTCAAAGCCAATGTAATCGCTCATCAGGCAAAAGAGAAATGAGCTTTGCCTACATAATGGAAACAATCTCAATCACAGACTCCTCTCCCTCCACTCGACCCCC